TAGATCTATATCCAATTATTACTCAATTTAAATTTTCTGAAGCATGGTTAGAGGGGTTTATGAAAAGATATAATCTTATTACAAGAAGAAGAATGCATGTTACATAACATCTTCCTGATGATCTTTTGATAAAACAGCAAAATTTCTTAAGTTTTGTTTTATATAGATAAATCCAACATGATTATCCATTAAGATATATTGGCAATATGGATAAAACACCGGTTACATTTGATCTACCTTATTTAACTACTTTAGATTATCGTAATACTTCAACTGTTAATATACGAACTACTGGTCATGAAAAAACAAATTTTACTGTTATATTAGGATGTATGGCTGATGGTATAAAACTACCAGCTGTTTGTATTTTTAAGCTTAAAAATATACCAAGAGAATCATTTTCTCAAGGAATTCATATACACGTAAATGAAAAAGGATAGTATAATGAACAAGAAATGCTCTGGTGGATTGAGAATATATGGACTCAAAGAAATGCATTTAACAACCCAAGGTCTTTATTAGTTTTAGATTCTTTCGTGAACATCTTGTTGAATCAGTTAAAAATAGATTTAATGAGAAGCAAACTAATATTGCAATCATTCCTGGTAGTCTTACAAGTAAATTATAACCTTTAGATGTAGCTATTAATAAAAGCTTTAAAGCAAAATTGCATTACTATTATAATGAATGGATGAATTCTAAAATTCACGAATTAATACCTGCTGGAAGAATTAAACGTCCTTCTTATACTATTGTAGCTGAATAGGTAAAAAAATCATGGCTGATGTAGATATTTCTTTAATTCAAAAGTCATTTAAATGTTGCAGATTTTCTGTTGCTAGAAATGGAAGTGAGGATAATTTGATGTTTGATTATGATAGATTACTTAATAATATAAAAAAAAAGAAATGTGAGCAGGATAAAGTTCGGAATATTGATGATTTTAGTAGTGACAGTGACAATGATTCTTATAGAGATAGCAATAGTAGCGATAGTGATGATAATGATAGTGATAGTGACGATATTAATAGTGATAAGTCTGACATAAATAAATATGAAGAAAAGGAAGTTTCAGATTATGAAAACGAATATTAGTTGGTAGATAAATAATAATTTTGATCATGTTCTTAATAAATTTACTGCAAAAATAAATAAATGCATTATATGCATCGTGATTGCGATAAATCAATAAACTTAATTTTATTATTGTATATGCCGATCAATATAAATTTTTAAGTATAATACCCCTTATAGTATAATATCCCCTAAAGTGTAATACCCCCGGATACCATACAAATTAAGTAATAAAAATCTTGCACTCTTCATGCATAATACCCGGACGTTTTGTATCAAAATTATGGATATGGTACTATACTATAGGGGATACTATAGTCTACTGTTTACGGTAGTTTCTAGAAAAGTGATAAATCTATTCTTAGTTATATTATATTTCTATTTTACAGGCTTGGAAATAGGATAGATATGTGCAATTTTCCATTTGTTAGGAATGTTGCTTATTGAGAAACACATGCAAATGAGCTTCTAAAGTAGTTGCTGTAATTTGGCTTGCTTTTAAGTGAGTGATCATTTCATTCGTGATCTCTGAGAAACCAGTGGCTTTATTATTAGAAAGTGTTTTAAGGACTGCTAATAATTCATTATAAGTAAAGATTACATAAGATTTGAATATGGCTGTTCGTTCATATAGTCTTTAGGTTCATATTGATTAGTCCATTTAGAAAACATAGAAGGTACTAAAGTTATAAGAACAGTGAAGTTTTAAAAATGATTAATTGTGACCTTCTTAATTTCTCTGATTCAATAGTGAATCTTTTTACTCCTAAATTTTTATTTCGATAAGTAGGCGATTAAGTACTATAGAATATTTTTTTCTGTTTATAATGGAATCAATCATTTTAGAAGGATTATTTTATAGGTTGTTAAAACACTTATCTATAAAGGATTTAATTGCATATTCTTTTAGTTTTTGAACTTCAATCTTAGTTAACGCTAATAGAGACTTATAGAGGTCTTCAATTTTTGTTATGATATCGATAATATTATCCTTATATAAAAAAAGAGAAAATGGAATTGTGAAAAATTGTGATAAGATAATCAATTTTTCTATCATATCCTTAATAGTAGATCACTCGAGATTGTTATATTACTATTTCAGTTATATAATTAATTCTTTGAAATTTAGTAAGATCAAGTTAACTTTATAGGTAGCAGTGAGGTATGCAGGTTAATTGAAAAGTTGTTTATCATGCCTTTGAAATAAAATCTAAACCTAAGGTATAATATTATGATTGGCAGCCAGAATAGCAGTCTTTATTTCAGTCTATAAAGTATTCATATTGCTTCTATTAGTAGAAAGGTTAGAAAGGTAATCAAAGTTATGATATTAATAATAAAAATTAGTATGAGCTGCAAATTTAGTCTATTTAGATAAATTCATAGCTCTTAAATTAGAAATTTATCATTTATTCTATAACAAATGAGATCTAGCATTTGATTACTTATGACAATTAGCAAAATGAAATGAAGATGATCTTATAATCTGATGAGTAAAATATAGGTGTATCCAAATAAGAATATAAAAATTCAGAAGTGAAGTTAGACAAGGTAAATATGATATCAATTCTTGAACTGCATAAGCCTGAATAATACATAGGTTGTAGTATATCATGAAATGTGTCATAAAAGTTAAGGAAATTCATTGTCTATAGAAATTCATCTGTTAATATTGAGCTTATTAATTCTTAACATATGATCAATAAATATCAAGATTCACATTGAAATTACCTAAAATAATAGTTTTAAAGTCTAATTTAAGGTTGTCTTTAATATGTTTAATAATTGTCTTATGCAATTTTAACCATTCTTTTTTAGTATTAGATTCAGTTAAAATATGTAAATAGACATAAAATATATAAAGTTTAATATGATCAGATAGGTATAAATCTATATAATAAATCGATCATTATCTAAGTAAATTTTTTGAATATAAATAGCCCAAGATTTTTTGACAAGGATGCTGATACCAGTATGTGAATTTATACGGTTATTCTAAAAGAAATTATAATAGGAATCATGAGAGTATGATGAGTTTTAGTGAAACTTACGAAGTTAATATTAAAATCTATAAATGTATCATTAATGAATTAGTTTTTAATCAAACATTGGAGGGAATTAATGTTATGTGTAATGAATAAAATAATGGTTGTGCCTTTTAAATTATCTATGTGATTTTTAGATTGATTATTATTATTATTATTATTATTTATTATAAGAATATTATTATTAGTATTATTCATGATTAAATTTAAATTTGTAAGTAACATTTTATTGCAAAGAGAAACTGAATGACTTTTGCAATTACATCATTACTTTAAGCATTTGAGCATTAATGATCTGTAACTACTTTTATTATTCAGTAATAACAGAAGTTTGTTTTTCAATGATGGCTTGGGTCTTAGGATCAATAGAAACAATTGACTTAATTTAATCTTTATCTGAAGAAGAATTGGCAATTCTGACTCTCTTCTGTAAAGTAAAGTTTGATAGAGTAAATTTTGAAGTAGAAACATTATTTGTAATACTTGAAGATTGAGAAGAGGAAAGAATTTTGATTAATGACTAAACCTTTTCTAGTTTAGCAATACAATTTCTAGGTCAAACATAACCTTTTGCATGCCTGTGAGCATACTAAGGATTTTGTCTAACTTATTATTAGTCAAGTTATTATTGTTGAAGTTATAAATAGAATCATCAATCAATGATCCTGCAGGACCACTATCCTTGACTTTTTCTTTATCATTCGCAGGTTTTTTCATCATTAGAAGAAGTAGAAGACTGATTTTTAGTTTGTTAATGATTATTGTTTCTAATGATCAAGGATTTTGATCCTGCTAGCTTGAATCAGTTATATAATTTTGAATAAAGGGGAGTTTATAAATTAGTTTTAGATTATTTAATAGGATTATCACTGCAGATAAGATAATTTGAGAATATTTTATAATAATATGTTCAGGAGAATCATATTTATGATAATATTTCACATTAGCAGAACATCATTGAAGTTCATTTTCACTGAATATAAATGATTATTTAATGGTATTATTGAGGTCTGCTTCTATTTTAAAATAAAAAACTGCAAAGGGTCGCAGTTTATAATTATTAGAACATAAGATATCACTAGTCGAAATAGTCCAAATTAGCTAAAATCAGATAGCCAATTTTAGACTGATTTTGATACTATTTACGTCTGATTTGCCATGTTTTTTGATCGATACAAACAGATGCTAATATATGCTGATTGACCCCAATTGGACATAGCCATTCAGAACTTAAATTCAACCATAAATCAGCCTAAAACAGATCTCAATTCAGCAACAATTTAGATACTGATAGATGCTGATCAACTCCAATCGGACATAGTCATTCAGTATCAATTCAGAACTTAAATAACCATAAATCAGCCTAAAATTGGCCTCAATTTGGCAACAATTTAGACATCAATCAATGCCGATCGACTCTAATCGGACAAGCAATTCAACCATAAATCAGCCTAAAATTAGCCTCAATTCAGTATCAATTTGGCAACAATTCAGATGTCGATCAATGCCAATCGACTCCAATCAGACAAGCAATTCAGCATCAATAATCAGTATATTTTATTTATTAAATTTATTAAATATTAAAATTTTATTAATAATAAAAACCTAATATAAATTTGCAAAAATATAACAAAATATCACTAAAATCTACTGATTAATTTCCTATTAAAAATATAATAATAAAATAATAAAATATGATCCATTTCTTTCTAAAATCCCTTAAATCATCCTAAATATAGATAAATAAATAATATATGATAAAAATATGATCCATTCCTTCTGAAATCACCTAAAAAATGTAAAAATAATAAATATAAAATGTAAAAAATAGAAAAATTAACCCAATTTCACCCTAAAAAAATGTAGATAATTATTAAAATCAACCCGTTCCCACCCCAAATTGCTTAAAAAAAGTAAAGATAATAATAAAAAATTGATCTAATCCACCTAAATCACCCAAAAAAATGTAAAGATAATAATAAAAAATCGGTCTGTTCCCACCTCAAACACCCAAAAAAACATAAAAAATAATTATTAAAATCGACCCGTTTCCACCTAAATCGCCCAAAAAAAAATGTAAAGATAATTATTAAAATTGATCCGTTCCCATCCAAATTGCCCAAAAAAACGTAAAGATAATTATTAAAATTGACCTGTTCCTATCCAAATCACCTGAAAATATATAAAGATAATAAAAAATCGATCCAAATCGCCTGAAAATCGTAAAGATAATTAATAAAATTGACCTGTTTCCACCCAAATCACCCAAAAAACATAAAAATAATAAAAAATTGACCCAAATCACTCAAATCACCTAAAAAAACGTAAAGATAATAATAAAAAATTGATCCAAATTGCCTAAAAAAAATGTAAGATAATTATTAAAATCAACCTGTTCCCATCCTAAATCACCCGAAAAAAACGTAAAGATAATAATAAAAAATCGATCTATTCTCACCTTAAATCACCCGAAAAAACGTAAAGATAATAATAAAAAATTGACTCATTCCCACCCCAAATCACCTGAAAAAAACATAAAGAAAATAATAAAATAATAATAAAATTGACATGTTCCCACCTCAAATCACCTGAAAAAATGTAAAGATAATTATTAAAATCAACCCGTTTTCACCCAAATCGCCTAAAAATTCATCATTCACCATCGTCTATTACGAAATTGTCTTCACTTTCTTCAGCAGTGGATGTAATCCCCCTTTTGACTTTGATATATTCCTCAGTTTCTGTTACATATTCTTCTGCAGTTGTAACTCCTGCTTTGATCTCAGTATCATAGACCACACCAGGTTGTGCTTTATATAATCACTTTAGAGCATTATGAGAATGTGGTCAGTCATAATGCTGCATATCATCATTGTATTTTCTCTTTCGTTGAATTTGAGATGATGATGTTGTAGCAGCATAAGGATCGAGTACCTTTCTAAGTAAATTTTTCAGCTAAAAGAAAAAATAATTAGT